GTCATTTCAAGCATATGGCCATATCTCCTACTTCCAAGCTTTAGATGGAAAAACCTTCAACATAAAAGTTGCTTAGAATGATGTTTTAAGGCTAATAGGGTGGTCATGAGATGTTGGAAAGGCTCATAGCAAAAAGTGATAAAAATAGCCTAAAAATGAGACATAAGTTAATTCAAGTGAAATGGAAAATCCTAAAATCCAAGTTCCAAATCCAAACCATGGCATATGATAGGTCATTTTGACTCCCAAGGACATTTTAAGAACAATGGTTTAGCCACAATTTTGATTTGAGGCTTAAATCTTGGGGTTGCTTTGTAAAAGTCTTACTTGCATAATGGCATACCAAACCAAAACAAGGAAAAATCCATAAACAAGGTGTTTAAGCTTTGTATCTTATCCAAAATACCACTTAAGGAGAAAATGAAGATAATTACTCAAGTTGTAAGGGTTTTGTCATGATATCTCATGTGGTGGGAAGTGAAATGCAAAATATCTTCATGAAAGTTCAAGTTGCTACTAGATTGATCTAGATGATTCTAGACCCTTCCAAATTAGTCTATATATTGATTTCATTCGCCATTGGTGAGAGGTTGGTGATTGTTGATGTTAATGGTGGTAGAGAATAGAAATTGAGCCAAAACTTTCCATTTTGCAAATTGTAGTCAAAATTCATTTTTCTCTTCATTACCCTTCCATTTTCTTCCACAAGTCATCACTACAAACCTCCCTGAACATGTTCATGCTAGAGTGAGCCTCCATTATTGAAGAATTGGAGCTTTTCAAGTGAAGTTGCAAGAGAGCAAAAAGGATTGAATCTGAAGATACAAGCCATCTCCATCAAATCTTGTGCAAGAAGAGTGTTATTCATCACATAGAGACCATTCTTGAAGATCCACAAGGCCTGGTTCGAAGCTTTTCAACACTTGCCATTGTAGGATCAAGGTATGCAAAATCTTTCCCACACTTTGATTTAGGCATGGCTAGGGCTAGTTCTTGTTGTGAAACCATTAGAGACCATTAGGTGATTCATTTGGATGAGTTTAAGACCAATTAGTGAGGTTTCATTAATGGAGGTTGATTCTTGATGGAGGTAGAACACATGATTTAATGGATGATAATGCACGAATTTTGGTTGGTTTTAATGAGCATGGCATAGGGATTAATTATATATAAAGATTGTTGAGTTTTGTGATGGTTGAAAATTGAAGAAAGTTTGGATCCATGGAGTTGTACTGTTCGGGTAGAATGATAGAGAGAGTTTTAATGCAAACCATTGCCACAGTTGGATTCTACATAAAATTCTAGCCAAGTTTGGTTCTTGGATCATGCAATTTGATGGAGAAATGAGAGGGAACAAAGGTGATGAAGTTGTGTGCATGGAGTTGTTTTTCATGGAGTTTACTAAACCCTAATATTCCAAGGAGGAAGATGATGTATAGACCGTTGGATCGCGCCTTGAATTGTTGACTTGAAGACCATCGGACGGCCAGCATTCACACACGAAATAATGGATAAGTGAAGTCTTTATGGGCTTAGCGAAAATACTCTCCACACCCCCCATTCCAAGCCCAATTGGTTTTACACTATGATTTCTTGCTTTTTGCACCACCATTTTATCTTTTTTCTTTTGATTTTTAATGTTTTTTCTGAATTATCATTGGGCTGGGGCGTGTCACTTCCAGCACCCCCAGTCTGGGCCCAGTTCATCATTTGCAACTTAAATCATTACTTTTCGTACCCCTCATGCCAATTCTCATATTAAACTTTCTCCAAATTTTTTCAAACTTTAAAAATTCATATAAAATTGAAAAATGCATATTTTTTAATGAGACTTTTTTTCCCATTTTCCATTTTTTGTCTAGAAAAATATGAAAACATAAAATTGTCATTTTATTTCATTTTCATATTTTTTGCATATTTTTACTTTTAATAGCTTTTTTAATTCTTTTAGTTGGTATGCTAATTTGTAGAATTTAATTAGGATAGTTCCCTTAGGATTTTAAGTTCAATCTTTTTAGGATGATTAGATGAATGGTTTAGGGTCCCCCTGAATTAATTTCATAATTTTTTGATAATTTTTAGGGTAGTTTTAATTAGGTAGTTCTAGGTAGTATAAAATTTGATTAAAACTTTAGTATAGGTCAATAACAATTTTAGATTTAGGTTTTTTAGGGCAATTTAGTCTATGGGGAATATATGGGACTTAAGGGTAGTTATGTAGGGTCCCCTAGCATTTATATTAGGAATTAATAGAATAATATACTATTTTTGGTTGATTTTTGAATTGATTGATTGTGTGGTGTGCCCTTTCTAGGGTTATTGTTTAATTGTGTGGGGTATTGGGTTTGTTTGGGGCTTGGGTTTGAGTTGAAGACTTTGCTGATGAAGCCCATTGAAGACTAAAAGAATGAAGACCAATTTCCAGAGTTGATGAGGAGTTTATCTTGTTGGCAGTTGTTGAAGGTTATAGGATCTAGGAGCTAGGCAGAGCTCTAGAGTAGAAAACTTGCTTCATAAACATGGAAGGTCTTGTTTGCCTCCATTCTTTCTCTATGATTCAAAGTCTCTTTTAAATACCCACTTCCTTCCTTTGGAAGGATTAGTGAATGTATTTAAAAGATAGAACTTTTGAGAGAAAACTGTCTATATTATGTTAACAGTTAGTAGGCCACCCTTGGTAGGCAACTGATTGCTTAACATCCAATTCATCTTGTGGACTGCTGCTCATCTTGGAGAGTGAGACTTGAAGAAAAGCCATTGGAAGATTGAAGATAGAGACCTTGCTTGAAGGCTTGAAGATGAAGACTGATGCTTGCTTGAAGCTTGTAGATGATGACTTGAAGACAGATGTTGATGAAGACTGCTGTTGGCTGTTTATTTTTGCTGTTTATATTTTTTGATGTATTGTTTGAATTTCCCTGGCTGTATTGTTTGCCCTTTAACCTGTTAGGTTGAAAGCGAATTTTGTTCGCTTTTGCCTGTTGTTTTCTAGGTTCGAGGTTGAGTGGGACTCCCTTGCCTCACTTGTATTGTTGCATCCATGCATTTTACTGCTTTATTGTATATCTGGTGTTTCTGTTTCCGTTTATCCCTTAGGATCTCTGTTTCTCTCTGCGCAAGAGAGGAGCATGATAGACATTAGGTCTTAACCCATGCATGATAACATTAGGTCAGTTTGATTCCCTTTTCAACCGTAGGTTAGAGTTCTGTCTCTTCTTTCTCAAAACAAACAGAAAAACACAATAAGATTCCAAATCCAATAAAAGACACTTCTTCCGTAAAAGAATGTGAACTCATCAAAACGTCATTTTTGTCCGCTTGGACCAGTAATCAGAAAAACCCTTTTTCAGAAGGAGATAAAAACAATCAAGACAGACTTGTGTCGTACGTGGCCCGAACTACGTTTGCTCTGATCTTTCATGCTGTATGAAAGTACGTAGGCATAGGATGCGATATCCTAGCGAGCAACCTTCCCCTCCTTTCCCGTAGGTAGGCGAACTACGTTGACTCTGATTTCTCGTTTCCGACGGGAATACGTAGGCATAAAGTGCGATACTTTGCCGAGTCATTTTATTTTCTTTTAACCCTTTGGCCTGTAGAGTAGACAGAATAACAATCCGTACTAGAAAACAAGCGTGGATCCCGTCGAGTACGACGGACGTGAGGGGTGTTAATACCTTCCCCTTGCATAACCGACTCCCGAATCCAGGATTTGGTTGCGATGACCATTCCTTTCCCCGTTTTGCGGTAGGTTTACCTCGAGCGTTTCCTTTCCCCTCTTTGGGATAAATAACGCGCGGTGGCGACTCTTCTGTTCAGCCGACGCCGATTTTCGCAGTAGCGACAAGTGCCATAATCACAGAACATAGCATCGATTCAAGAAAACAAAAAATAGAAGAAATCAACATGCTGGAAGTCACGACACTCAAACTCTTAAACATTGGGTCTCAGGAACACTTTTTATATTATTGGATTGTTTTGCTTGGTCATCTTTCTTCATATTACAGGTAACTTACTATATATTATTCTTTTTCTTTTTTCTTGTACAATTTTGATATGTATCATCTATCATGTTGTATAATACAATATGAATATAAATTTTGAATTGCAGTCGATAACGTTGAAAAAATATCCGGCTGAAATGTCACTGTCTACGTAATTTGCTTTGTTGGTGCTTTGCAAAGTAGTGCAGTGGCATTGGTGGCGGAGCATCACTCTGGTGCGAGGGTTTGGGCTCTCAGTTGGGACTTTAGACTCTATGGTCCTCTCTTTACGGTATCTCAAAAATTTTATCAACAATGTTTTCTATTTTATAGTTACCTCAAAAACAAAATTAATGAACATAAAAATTACAGGGAATAGTTACCTCAGGAATAACATATTATCTGCAAGGGTTGATATTGCAAAGCAAAGGCCCAGTATTTTTCACAGCATTTAATCCTCTTTGTATGATCATCACTTGTGCTTTAGGCACCTTTCTTTTTGGAGAACAACTCCACTTGGGCAGGTATATCTTACTAGTCTTTCTTATTATCACAATTAAAAAGTTAATTAACAAAGTAACTATATTTTAAGGTTATGTATAAGTTAATATAATTCAATCGTGACAAAATAAATAGAAACTTTACTTTATAATTAATGCTTAATTTTGATAAATATTTTATTAGTCTTACTATAGTTTGATTGTGACAAATATTTTAAGAGCATTATTTAACCATGGTTTAATTCTAGTAAATTTTGGATCTTGCAAGTCTTCAAAATTGTCTATGCCTTAGTTCATCTGTTTGTTAATTTGGTGAATAATGTTCTCTTTATGGATGATAGTATCATTGGAGTAGTGATTATTGCAATCGGTCTTTATTCTGTTATATGGGGTAAAGGCAAAGACTGTTCATCAACCACTATAGTATCTGAATGATATAGAGAAAGCATATTAGCCTTTTCTTTGAGAAAGTTCACATGTTGTATCCAGCAAACTACATCCATTTAGATGAACATGATTACCAACTGGAACTTAAATACACCTCATGACTGCATTGGTACCTACAATATTACTAAGAATATTTGTAAAATCGAATGAAACTATTGCATAATTTGCATTTGCTGACTCGACATGCATCCACACTGCCAAGCATGCGACTTTCTTTTGCAAAATCCAACCAATAAGACTATTATCAACTACTTGTCATTCTTTAATAAACAGACTTACGATAAAAGCTGGTAAACAGCATTAGGTCTGGGACTAAAGGCTATCGCTGTAACAACTCCAGTATGTCCCTGCAAAACTGATATTGGTAGGCCGTCTGGCAGGCGCCGCTATGAAAACCAAACCGTCAAATATAAAGTGCCAATAAATTACAGATAGAAGGGAGAGAAGATATGCAAAAGAATTGCTAACTTCGTCACAGAAAACTTACAACTCGAATAACACAATCATTTAATGAGGACGCAACTAAAGCATTGTTTGAACTCACGGCCAAGTCAGTAATATCACCCTATCAAACATTGTATATAATTCAATCTAATGGTCAACAAATATTAAAGCAATGCAAGTCTATAAGAACAGGAAAAACATGTTTTGAAGTACAAAAAAGACTCACTTCGTGTCCACGGCAACTGGCCAAACTATATGCAGTTTCCATTGACCAAATTTTTACAAGTCGATCATCTGAACCAGTAATAACATATCTTCCTGACCGGTCAAATATAGCTGTAGTATAAAATAGAATCAGGTGCATGAGATTATTAAACAAGCCCAACTCCAAAACCACAGAAAAATTCAAGAAAAACAGCAATAGAAATAATACTCATCGTAAGACCCACATAGCATGAATTTAAGTCATTTTGGAAAAGTACAGTAATTGAGTTTATTAACTTAAAATATCCTACATATTTTAAAGGAGGGAGGAGCTTCTCTTGTTCTATTAATAAAGGAGGGAGGCTGTATTTAATAACAATTGCTTCAAAAGCTTTACCAAGTGATCCTTTTCAATATGAGGGTACCTATATAATAGTCAATTGCAACATCAATGAAAAATATCACTTTGGAAAGCAATACATAAAAATAGTTACATCCTCATTTGTTCACTACATACATCCCATAACTAGCAATCAAACAGCTATACTGTTAACACAACTAGCAAAAAAGGCCATGAAAATGAATTGAGAAAATAGACCGGTACTGTTGAACTTTCAAGACCTTAGCAAGGTAAAACACACAACCATCAACAGGTAGAAGCTAAAGGAAAAACACAACATGAGCAACACACTAAACTAAAGCATTGTAAATACCTCTCCAAATAAAGTAGATTCTAGCTCTGCATAAGCATAATCAAATGCTTGTAACTGGTGAGCATCCAGATCCTTGATAAGGGTAGGTTCATCAAATTGAATCCAAGTAGCACCAGCCGCCTTCAGTTCCGTCACCACTTTGCCTATGAAAAATTACAGTATGATTAAAATTTTAAACAACTTAAATTCATGATTCGAAAACACATCACTATATTAAGGCCTTACTTGTATACAGGAAGGATCTTGTCAATTAGGGAAAAAAGGGAAAATGACTTTTCAACACCCTTAGCTGGTTTTGACAGCAACAAGTACAGATACGGTATTCACTCCTAGCTGCATAGAACAAGAATACATTGTATAAACATCATTATGGTATAAATAATTCAAAACAAAAGTCTCTTGTAATAAACATTCTTCCCAGGTTTCAATCTTCTTTAGTATATCATAGGCTGGGTAGTGAAGATTTTCCAAGATCAGAGTATTCACTAATTATTCTTTTAAATAAATTAAATCAAATCAAAGATACTTAGGCTAAAGTAAGTTTTAAACTTACAGCTTTTGCCTCCTTGTATTCATCCACCGCTTTGTGTGATGCCACAGTTCTTATACTTCCAACTGCATCATTTGCAACTTGACTAGCTTCCTCGTACATCATCTGCACCAATCCAATTCACATAAATAAAATAAGCTAGTTTCTTATTTCTTTATGTTATGACAGATAATAAGACAGAGTTATATCTAAAATTTTGATAGAAAATTTTGTTAAGGTTTTGCAATTTTACCTTTGCATCGGCACTGAATCCCTTCATGAATTTCATTTGCACATAACCATTGAGTCTGAGCTGAAACTTAACTTTTTCTCCCTGCAAATATAAATTATTTCTATTATGTCATCAACAAACAGGCTATACAATATAGACAAATACCACTTGCAATGTCAATGTACCTAATGAATTAGCAACAACTAGTGTTCTACCAACAACAGCGACGAATCGAAATAAGGAGAGAGACATCTGATGAATGCCAAACAATGCCAAGAGTTGTCGAAAAAATATGATCATAGAGACAGAGATTCCAAATCAGTTATAATTTGATAAAACGGAAATAATTGACTGCATGTGTCCACTATATTGATGTTAGGTCTTAACAATTTAGTTATGACATATTGCACAGTAATGATGAAACTGTTAAAGCTGGTAGCATGATTCCAAAACCAAGTACGAGCAATTTTTCTCAGAATAGTTATCTGAATCAAATGTTGTTTGAGGATCCATCCAGCTTTGGAATAAGAGATTTGTTAGATATTTTATTATATATAATAAAGTCAATTATGGATCTAATGTAAGTAACATTGTTCAATAAAAAATGAAAGTAACATTGTTTGATTCCTTAGACCACCATACCTGATTTGCCAAATTGTAGAAATGAATAATGTTGCGTATCATCTAGACAGACTTGTAGAAGGGACAGAACTTGTCATATCTATTACACACAAAATGTAACAATATAAGAGAGACAACAAATAAAAACACTAACATGAGAAATGTATCAAAGAAGTTAACAATTTACAAGGGCACTTACGGCGTAAACTCTTCTTCAGATGGCTCTGCTGGTAAATCTTTAGCAGCAACAACTCCGATCATTTTTCTCAACCGCCCCTGCTTAGAACTAATTTTCAGTGGATCTTTAGATGCTGCTTTTGCAGGTTCCACAGAAGGATCCTGCACAGATTACACTGAAGATAAACTGGACAATGGTTGATCCTGCAACAAAATCGGTAGCAGCAGCAAAAAAGAACAAAAATCAACATCAACAATAAACATTTTTCCTTCGCATTTCTCAAATATAAAGGATTCAATTATAGTCATGCTACTATAGGCTTTTAGCTTAAGCAATCTAAATCATTTGTTTTAATAAACAAAGGTCAGCAACTACATACAATGGACGCCACACTGAATCGCGACACTTTGCAACGGTGATTGCAAGGCTATGTTATCGAAGTATTAATGCATGAATACTAGATTGTATATACATGATCACATTCAGAAGATAATGTTGATTACCTGTGATGCTGAGACTATTGAATAGGGTGATTTGATGCGCTCTTCAGGTGAAAAATTGTCAAAAGATTTCCATAACATCATAACACAAATAATGTAAGAAGCAAATTAGACTTTTTTCTCTATTACAATATTTAGAAACTATTACAATACCTAACGAGATGGATCATTTCATCATCTTTAATCTCAACAAGAACCTCATTGTGTTCATCCTTTGAAATTTTGAGTTCACTTATAAGACTAATTATCAAATCTTGCTTTTCCTAGTAAATTACACAATAAACAAAAGTTATTAATACACATACTATAGTTATTATATATTATATCATATAGATATGTGCATATACCTGATCGATATCGTTGGCTTTGTATATGAAAGCATGCAAGACATAAGTGTATGCCTGCACCTCAGCTCGGTGAATGAAATTATCAATCTCATGTAGAACATCCGAGTCAGTGATGCTTCTTACATCGGACTCAGAATCTGAGTTTGTGTTCATTCCCACACTTCCCTTGAATTCTAATTCTGCACAATTTAGAACCACCAACTCAATTCGCAGCAGTTCGCACAAAAATGTAACTCACACAACAGAACACACATCACCCAAGCAGAATAAGGGCAACAAAATCACTCATCTCTCAAGACTCTCACTCACAAAGGAAGCAGCAAGAATAATTACACAACACCACTTCAAGCCACAACAACAACACAATACCAATCATAGAATAATCAACAATTCAGAACCTAAAGGCTAAAGAGATTGGAGAAGAAGAATAAAGAATTGGAGAGAAGAAGGAGCAATAGATTCATATTTACCTGAGTGGAGCTTGTCCTTCGTTCATCCTCATCAACCCCTACAAGACCGGAGAACTTCTCATCCTCGTAAGTAGGGAGAAAAGTTCGCGTGAATGAGGGAAGGGAGAAAAGTTACGGTTTAAACAACCCCCAAATTCAAGTTTTAGAAGATATTAATTAATTAATAACTTTCGAGTCAAAATTAAAATCATATAGTGTTATTGTTCTAGTGGTAGTGAGGTCTTTCTACATAGCAAAGGATTTGGGTTCAAGTCTTGGTTTTGCCATTTTTCTTAAATTAATTTTTCAATCATATTTTCAAGTTTGAATTTTAAAAAATAGAAATAAAAAATATCACACTTCAAAAGCGTTGCAAAAAAGGAATAAACTACGGTTATACTATAACCACATTTTCAAAACCGTAGCATATAATAAATAGGGGACGGTTTTGAAAGAAAAGCGTCAACACTAAAAATGTGTAGCCTATGTTACTTATAGGGACGGTTTTACAGTCGTTGTCTATTTCTCCGTTGCCTAAAGTCATTTTTGTTGTAGTGTCATTAATATCAAAATGTCATAGATTCTAAGGTTTGTGTCCATGGGGACACGCTTAAGCGCTCCCAGCGTGATGAGTGATCAGTGCATATTTATGCACTTTCTCCTATATTTTTACTTAGGCATTTCTTTAGTTTATCTTGATTATTTTTATGTTTTATTTTGTTTTTATATTTTATTTTATTTTTGGCTTAGTTTGATTTCCGCACTTATTTTTCAGCTTTAGCAGTCTGCACCGAAACGATCATAACTGGAGTTCCGGAAATCCGTTTGAGGCGTTCTAAAAATCGCTGGAAATATAAGAGAGAGAGCTACGACTTTCATGTTGGAGGCGAAGTCAGATTCGGAGCCCAAAATTCCAGAATTCCGTTTGAAGTTACTGCATTAGAATTTTATTTTAGTGTTGGGTCATGTATTGGGCCTGGGTTATGTTTTCGACCCAGTTGGGTTATGACCCGAATTTGCTTTCTTTTTAAAGGAAAAATACTCGTGTTACTGTTCACCTAGTTACATTTTCACGAAAAATGCATTCGGAGCTTTGAGAGAACCATGGAGAGCTAATTCCTTAGAGTCATTCTGCTATAATCGCGTTCCAACGCTTTGAGGTTTTTACTTTTTCAATCTAACTCGTTTCTCTTTCAACACTATTCTATGAATTGCTTTTGCTTAATCTGTTAGTATATAGAATTGTTTTGATTAAATTCGTATGATTGCATCCTTAGCTTTTATTCGCTGTTACGTCGCTTTGTCGTTCATTCGCATTTATAATTCGTGTTTGCTTAATTCACGAAAACTTAATCCGTTTGCTTAATTTGGAATATAGGATTGTTAATCTAGTTTATGTCTTTTGCGCTTGTTGATTGACATAGGAATCGAATAAAGATCAAAATCGCTTAGGAAATTGGCAAGGTAGAAACCCGTGATAAGCAAGAACCGAAAACAGTAGATTGACTTATTTTGATAATCACTTATTTTAACCGCTTAATTGCATTTTCTTTATTTATCCGATCAGAAACCAAACCAACTCCCCCTCCAT